GGAAAAGCAGGATGATGATCAGGAGGAGGAGGAGGAGGAGGAGGAGGAGGAGGAAGAGGACGTGGATGAAAAGGAGGGAGAAGAGGAGGAGGAGGAGGAGGACGAGGAGGAGGAGCAGGAGGAGGGTGAGGAGGAGCAGGAGGAGGAGGAGGAGGAGGAGGAAGAGGAAGAGGCGGAGGAGGAGTTGGAGGAAGAGGAGGAAGGTCTCCATCCCAGCAGTGGTGGCCGAGGAAGCATCTAAATAAGGTGTGAACATCACCCTTCGGCGGTCCACACGGATTTTCCCTGGATCGGCGTTGGAACCTCCGAAGGGTGCCCCTCCCCTCTCCAGCCTGCCCCGCCCCCCCCTCCAGCCCCTCCCCTCCCTGCCCCTGCCCCTGCCGAGCCGGAGAGCGAGCTAGCGAGGTTCTTGTCGTCAGAGAAGTGTAACCCGCGTTATTGGAGGTCAGTGTCCTGGCGCTCAGCTTACGCATGGAAGCTAAGACCAGCAGTGCCTCAGCCTCCCCCCTCCCTTCCTCGTCCTCCTGCCCTCCTCTCCCTTCCACCCCCTCTCAGGAGAGCGATTTGTCTCAATATCGCAATGGTGAACACTCTAACCCGCACGTGTGGAACACAATCGCCAGCCGGGGCGCTATTTTCCTGAACTGTCCGTACTTGTTGTGCCCTGGTCTGGACATACGCCTCCGACCGACGGCACTTCTGCAGCCGATATGTTTTGCAGACACGGCGTTATTGATTGATTGATTGATTGGCGCTGGGACCCCCCTGGCGCGCTCCGCGCGCCAGCGAGGGCTATCCACCCCCAGCGCCGATCCAAGAAATGCCCGCGCGGACTTCGAATGTTAATGTTCATGCAGTTCTTTTCCCCAATTCGGCTTGTCTAAAGGGATTCTTACTTGGTTAAAAGGCTGGTACCTCTTATTGTTGCTTTGCCCGTTGCTCGGAGGTTCCTCGGATTCCTCGGGTTCCTCGCCCCCGCTGCCTCGTATTCTTACTGTGCTCGTTCCCTGGAGGTTCCTCGGGTTCCCCGGGTTCCTCGGGACCCAAGGCCCACGGTGTCTCCTATTGTTACGTTGCCCGTTCCTCGGAGGTTCCCCGGGATCCCTGGGTCCCTCGGGTTCCCCGCCCTGGTTGCTGTCTTTTCCACAGCAATGCCATGCAACGCCAGGCAACGTCAAGCAACGCGAAGGAGATCAAAGCAGTGCAAAGCAACGCCAAGCAACGCCAAGCAACGTTTAGCAATGCCAAGCAACGCCAAGCAATGACAAGCAATGCCAAGTAACGCAAGCAATGCCAAGCAACGCCAGCAATGCCAGACCGTGCGATGCAACGCCAAGCAATGCCAAGCAACGCCAAGCACCGCCAAGCCATGCCAAGCAACGCAGAGACATGCAGCGCAACTCTAAGTAATGCCACGTAACGCAAAGCAGCGCCAAGCAATGCCAAGCGATGCAACGCAACGCCAAGCATGGAAAGCATGCGAAGCACTGTCCCGCAGTGCCAAGCAACACCAAGTAATGCAAAGCGATGCCAAGCATTACAATGCAATGCAAATCAAATCGATGGTATGCCAAGCAACTTCAAGCAACGCCGCTTAAGAGTTCCCCTGATTGGGATCGCGCCGGGTTCATTCCCCAATCATATCTTGCCTCTGTAAGGGTCCTAGCGGATTCATATGGTCAGGTTAATTAGGTTTGCCGCCGATTTTCGCTGCACGCCCGGGTGCCCAGGTGCCCAGGGGTGCCCAGGGGTGAGCCGATTTTCGCAGCACGCCCGGGTGCCCGGGGGCTGCCCAGGGGTGCCCGGGTGCCCGGGTGCCCGGGCGTGCCCAGGGGTGCCCGGGTGTGCCTGGGGATGCCGATAGCCCTACATTTCTATAGCCCTATAGCTGAATAGCCCTATAGCTCAATAGCCCTATAGCTCGATAGCCCCCTAGCCCTATAGCGCTGATAAGTTTTTTTCGCCTGTATCATGTTTTTCTTCGCCCTGGTCTTCATCGTTAGGTTTCTCAGCGTTGGCTGGCAGTTCGCGGCTGGGCGGCTCTCGCATGATTTTTCGGGTTCCCAGTCTGGTGCTGACGGCCGCCTAGCGGACCGTCGCCGAGCCGAGCATTCTTGAACACGTTCTCCCTGCAAACTGAAGCGAGGCGCTGTGGTTGTGGAGAAGCTGTCTTGAAAGTGAGCCCGAGAAAACAATGCTCTACGGGCCCCCCCTCCTCCCTCTCTTTTCGGCCTCCGTCTCCAGTGCGGGGGAGTCGAGGAACATGGACAACAACACGTGTGGAACCCGCACCCCCTCAAGCCCGAGTTTTGGGCCTGCGGGTTGGGTTGGGGCGGTCTGATAGGTAGTCACTCCTCCCGTAATGCCCGCCAGCTTCTCATCGCAGAACCAGTCTTACCGGCTCAGGGGCCCGGGCCAGGATCTTTGGAGGCGCGATTCGATTGCCGTGCCCTCTCCTCTTCCCCCCCCCCCCGGTGGCCCTCCCACGTCTCTCTTCGGGAGCCTTGAGACGGGGGTCAATGCAAGCGGGGGTCAGCCAGAGCGCCCGATCTTGCAGGATCCTGCAGGGCCAGGGTCACATTGACCGGGGCTTGGGCGCAGGATCCTGCAGGATCTTGCAGGAGTTTTCGCATTGACCCGGGTTTGGGCGCAGGATCTTGCAGGATTTTGCAGGGCCTGACGCACCCCCGATCTCTCTCTCTCTCTCTCTCTCTGTCTCCCAGTCCTCGTCGCCTGCGGCCAGGAGTGCGAGAAGACCCCAGACGGCATACAGTCTTGGGTTAACACGCGGACGGGGGAGGTGCGATGGGAGGCCCCTGGCAGGACCGACCGCTCAGATAGCGGTCGCCGCCGTCGTCGTTGTCGTGAGTCGTGAGTCGTGAGTCGTCAGTCGTCAGTCGTCGTCGATCGACCGTATGTCAACCTCGTCGGAAGGTGAGGATCCCCAGGGTGACGAGCAGCAGGAGGAGGAGGAGGATTAGGAGGAGGAGGAGGAGGAGGAGGGTCAGGGGTCAGGCGGAGGGAGTAGGAGAAAGAGGAGAGGGTGGATGATGATGATGATGATGATGATGATGATGATGATGATGATGATGATGATGATGATGCTGATGCTGATGCTGATGCTGATGCTGATGCTGATGCTGATGCTGATGCTGCTGCTGCTGCTGCTGATGATGATGATGATGATGATGATGAGGAGGAGGAGGAGGAGGAGGAGGAGGAGGAGTCACAGGAGGAGGAGAAGACGGAGAAGGAGAGAGGAGGAGGGCTTGGTGGGAGGATGCGGATGATCGCAGAAGTGAGGCGGACTAGGAGGATCGGGAGGAGCAGGGGCAGGGAGGGAGGGCGGACTTTGGGAGTAGGAGGGTGTACGGGCAGGAGGCGGATAAGGAGGAGGAAGAGGAGGCGGAGGAGGAGGAGAATGAGGAGGATATGGACAGTTATTGGAGGACGACTAGCGAGGAGGTGGTGGAAGAAGAGGAGGAAGAGTAGGAAGAGGAGGCGAATCGGGTGGGACGAGGAGGAGGAGGAGGAGGGGACAAATCAGCAGTGCAAAAGAGGAAGAAGGAGGCGCAGGAGGAGGAGGGGCAGGAGTTGGATGAGGAGGCGAGGAGGCACTGAAGGGGTGCGGCGGTGGACGGCCTCGCCGAGGGCGGCATCCGAGAAGCTAGAAGTGCGGAGCGGCTCCCCCCTCGGCCCCCTTCCTCGCCCGCTCCTGCCAGCCTTTTTCGTTCCAATCCTCCTCTTCTCCTCACCTCCCCTCCTTCCCTCTCCCTCCTTGCCCCTCGCACCATTACCTCTTCCCGCATCGCGTCCCCCTCCCCCCCCGGCCTCCTTACATTCCCCTCTCCTGCCCTCTCCGTCATCATTCCTGGGCAACCTCCCCCACGTGGAAATGGGCAGGGGGGGAATCAACGCAACGCCCTGCCAGGGAGGTGTTCATGGTGCCATGTTGTCGTGGAAGGCCAGACGTCTCGAGGGACCTGAGGCAGACAGTGGCCGCATGCTGGGATCCATGTGTCATGGGGGCCGTACGTGACTGCGGCGTCACAGGAAGCGGAAACCGCCGTCAGAGTCCATAGCGCGGCCGAGTAAGTCTCTAAATGGCACCCTCAAGCCCTCAGATTTTTCGGCCGCGTGGTGCCCAGCAGAGCAGGCTTCAGCTGGGGGGCCGAAAGGGTCCCACACCCTGACCGTGCATCCCTTACTGCAGATCTTGGACTGCAGTCAAGACAGAAAGGTAAGCCCGACGCGCCCGTCGAAGTCATGTGAGGCATTCCAGAAAGGGCCTCGTCGTCGAGGGATCGAGAAGGTGGCATATCTCCTTCGCGGAAGGTGGCAGAAGGGCGACGGAAGCCGGCAGTAATGAAGCGAGGGCGGCTGCGCCATCGGAACCCGGCGGAACGCCCGCGGAAGTTAGAATTTGCCATCCAAGAGATGACAGCTTGTATGGGGTTCAGGGCTTCTAGAACCCGCCATGTGGAGCCGACCCCCCCGTCCCCGCCCTCCGCGGACCTGGGTTTGGGAGCTGCTGCGCTGCTGGCCGCGGTTCGCGACATGGTCCCGGCTGACCTTGGTGCGCGTTGACCCAGGTCAGCGCGTCCCCGATCGGGTCCGACTGCGCAGTAGGCAAACCAGGTGTTTCCTCGTTTGCTGTCTGCCGCGTCTCGTGGCCTCTTCGAGCCTGGAGCAAGAGTTGCCCTCGGAAGACCTGTTTCTTCTCGGGTGTCCTCAGCGATTCTTTTTGATTGTGCCGGGACCACTAAGGATTTAGTTTGGGTGGCTCTTGAGGTGAGGGGTGAGCTATCGAGACTGACCCGCGTTTGGTTTTGCCCCATGCTTATGCGTCCAAGCGCCTGTCCCAAAGGCCAAACTTCCCTCCTGCCAGTTCGTCCCGCGGGATTCTGCCATTGGTGCCATCGCCAGCCCGACGCCGTTGTACAACCAGTGCTGTTTTGGCTTGAGTTCCCGTACAGCTTACATGGACCCCTGCCAGTCGCATGTATTTCGACCTTGATGGGGTTGTGTGCACTTCTCTGTCCAAGCCGCCCCCGTACCGAGTGGACTTCGTGGTCGGAGGCGACGCCCAGGCGGGCAGCAGTGCCAGGTCGGAGGCGGTGCCGCTGGGGCAGCTATATTTCTGCGACAGCTGCTCGCGGGTGGTCTCCCGCAGGGAGTTGGCCGAGGATGGGCCCCGTGATCAACGATCGCCCGACGTGGAACAGTCGCACCCACTGGGGCGCGACGACAATCGCACTTTGCGTTGTCGTGGCCTGGGCCGGAGGGCCCTCCCTCTCCAAGGCTGCCTCGCGATGGCGCAGAGGTGACGGCGCGCCGAGGGGCGCGGAGCTCGGAGCTTGGAGACCCAGCTGAGCGATCGGTGCTTCTCCTGGCAGACACCGTTGGCTCCGTTGTTGGTCAAGTGCCCTTGCAGCTGCTTCCTCCCTCAACCCCGTGTTGGGACAGGGGGCGCCCTCACCCCCCCCCGGGGCTCGGCACTACCACGCTCGCCCCGACTGCTGAGCCCGGCTGCCGCCGGGAATGAGTCAATGCGATGGATGGGACGGTATCACGGGCACTGCAGCGAACCCCCCTTCGCTATCCCCCCTGTTTCGTCCGCCCAGGAATCGCAGCGAGGCAGCAGCGCCAATGCTGCAGCAGCAGTTCAGACAGACTTCAGGCCTCCCCAGTGGTTCGAGCAGATGGGGGCGGTGGATCGCGCCTCATGGCCGATGAATCGGCGATGTGGCTCGATGTGGAGCCCGGCTTTCTTCACGCCGACGACGCCGATTCCTCGCCGACGTCGTGGACGCCTCGCCGATGCATCGGCGATGCTGCGCGACCCGCCGACACCATCTACGTCGACCCCATTCTCGCTCGAGGCAGCCTCACAACCTGCTCTGAGAGCAGAGGATGTTGGGCACCCGAACAGGCAAAGTTCTTGAGACATCCCCGCAATCTGAGCGCGCACGAGCCCGTGAGCACACCCTGGCGGCTCCTTCTTGAGGTGGTGAAACCAGCGCCTCGCTCGAGACATCCTCACAATCTGCTCTGAAAGCAGAGGATGCTGGGCATCTAAGCAGACACTCGCTGCAGACATCCCGACAATCCTCGACCTCAGTCTGAGTAAGGAAGACTAAGCCTGAGTATGAGTAAGGCTGAGTTTGAGGGTGTCTGAGTGTGAGTGAGTCTGCGTATGATTGAGGCTGTGTGTGAGTGAGTCTGAATGTGCGTGTGTTTGAGTATGAGTGTGTCTGAGTGCGAGTGAGTCTGAGTGTGTGTGTGTGTGTGTGAGCCTGAGTGTGAGTCAGTCTGAGTATGAGTGGGTCTGAGAGCGAATGAGTCTGTGTTTGAGTGAGCCTGAGTGGGGAAGAGGAGGAGGGAGGAGAAAGAAGGAAGGAGTCGAAGGAATCGAAGTACCAGGCAGCACTTTGAATTCTGACAGGTTTACATGTGCCATGGAGCACGGTGGCGGATTAGCGTAGACCAGCGAAAGTAGGTGAGCCGAGATGCAATGTGTTTACGCTGACGAGTGTTATCAGTACGGCTGACCTTTAGCTTGCCCACTGGTGCCCATCGAGGCTCTTTGCTGTCGTCTCAGTACCCCGTTGGGTCATACTGGGGCCAACTTCAGGAGTCATGGGCTCTCTCATCGTAAGCCGAGGCTGCGAGAAGGCGACATTCACGGAATCAGCAAATAGTTTACACCGCACTCACATCTATACCCCTGGGTGGGTGTATGTGCGGCCGTTTTTGCGCTGTCATGTGCGCGCATGTGCGCGGCATGTGCCAGTCATGTGTCAGGCCTGTGCGGCCCTTCTTGGATGGATTTCCTACTGTGCACGTCGTGCCCGGGCATGTGCAGGGGCATGTGCGCTGTGTTTTGGTGTATCCATCATGCGCACATGCATGCACAGTCCGACGCACATGCGCGCACCTGTCTGCACATGCGGGAGGTGTTCGAGAATCGCAGATCTGTCATCGGCACATGCACGCACATGCCTGCGCAACCTCTCTTCGGGAGGCCGCGCGAACCCGCACATGCACGCACATGCGGTGAAGCGCGCGGGCGCACATGCGTGCACATCCCAATGCACATGCACGCTCATGCCCTAGGAGCTGTCTGAGACCCCTGTGCCTCCAATGCCTCCTGGCCTTCGCAGAGCTAACCTGGGGCGTGCCAGGGCTTCCTGAAAGAGTTTGTTGTGCGTTTAGACTCGCCCGCTGCTGGCGGGGGCGGTTCTTCGCCCGGTTCGTGAGCTGGCGGTGGCGTGCCCTCCTAGTAAAACACTCTCCCGCGCGCCTTCTCAGCTCGGCCGGAGAAGCAGGGGTGGGGGGGGGGAGGTGGAGGGGGGGGGAAGGAGGGGGGGCCGAGGAGGCGGACGCCCCCGGCTCGGCCGGCCCGCCCGCCTGTTCGGCTCGGCCAGAAGAGAAGGAGGAGGAGGAGGAGGAGGAGGAGGAGGAGGAGGACGAGGAGGAGGAGGTGAGAGTTGCGAGGATGTCTCAGGCGAAAGTGGCTTGACGGCCCGAGCTCAGGGAATCTCGGAATCGCTGGCCTGGCTCGGCCACTGGCGAGCTCGGCCTGTGCGAATACTGTGCGTACCTGTGCCGGGCATGTGCGGGACGTGCAAGAATGCCGGGGCCGGCGTTCGTCTCCGGGCGCCAGCGCGTTCGCGTCCGCGCGCAAGACATCCTCACATGATATGCCCTGAGTTGAGGTGTTCAGGCCACTTTCGCCTGAGACATCCTCGCAACTCTGACCTCAACGATGCCCTGCTCCATAGTGTCTCGGCCTTTTTCGCTTGAGACCCTCGCAACTCTGGTTTCCGAGATGCCCTGAGCAGGTGGTCAGGCCACTCCTGCCTGAGACATCCTCGCAACTCTGGATTCCGAGACGCCTTGGGCTGAAGTGGTCAGACCACTCTCGCCAGAGACATCCTCTTGCCCCATAGTGGTCAGGCCACTTTCGCCTGAGACATCCTCACAACTCAGACCTCGGAGGTGTCCTGCCCCATGGTGGTCTGGCCACCTTGACCAGCGACATCCTTGCCACTCTGGTTTCCCCCATGGTGGTCCGGCCACGCTTGCCTGAGACATCCTCGCAACTCTGGGTTGCGAAATGCCCCGAGCTCAGGTGGTCAGGCCACTATCGCCTGCGACATCTCTGCAGCATGTGCGGGCATGTGCGTCTATGCTTTCAGAGTTTTGCTTGACCGTGCATTCGACTGCGTCGGGCGGTGTGGCATGTGCGCGCATGTGCGGAAATGCTGTTGAGGCTAGTATATTTGCATGGGCATGTGCATGCGACTGTGCGGCATGTGCCTGCATCTGCGGCCCCTTCCGGACCACAATTTCAAAGTGAGCACTATAGAAGTGAGCGCTATAGAAGCGAGTCCGGTGTAACGTCTCAAGCGTGCCCATGACTTTGGCCGTCGAGGTGCATCCTTAGGAGGCTCGGATGCCATCTCAGCCCCATCTTGGGGCCTCTGACAAGCATGCTGGAGGCCATCAGGGCCAGTTCTGATCATCTTGCTTTATCTGGGGTCCAACTTACGCTACCTGAGGCAGCATTTGAGCCATCTTGGAGGTTTCAGTGCCACGTGATCCAGGATGTCCCCACCCTCGGAGAGGAAGGGGTTATTTTGGAAGAGCTGGCCGGCACCCTAAACCCTCCAAGGCCTAGAGGATAGGTGCGTTTTTTTGCTCTGAGGAGGTCGACTCGTACTACTGCCCGCACTGCCTGGAGAACATGCCTTCCAGCGAGGCCATGCACTACGGCATGCGCTGCTCCAAGTGCTGGGAGTGCCCCGTGTGTTCGAGCACGCTGACGATGTGCAACTCAAGCCCGGGCGCCGTGAACCAGACCTACTACCTCGCCTGCGGCTTCTGCCGCTGGAGCTCCAGCGGCCGCCTGGAGTCTAACCAGCCCGAGCAGCTGATCGCCAAGATCATCGCGCTCGAACGGGAGGGCGCCCCCAAGAAGCGCATGCAGGCCCTCGTGGAGTCCTTCCGCGGGCGCGCGCAGGAGCAGCAGCGCGAGCGCGAGCTGGTCCAGCGCCTGAAGCGGCGCTCCACCCTGGGCCGCAACACGCTGGCCAGTGGGGCGTCCTCGCTCGGGGTGGCGCGCCGCGGCGCGTCGGCGGCCATCATGACCCGTGGCCCGAGGATGACGATGGTGGCGCACGGCCTGCTGGGGCGACAGCAGGCCAGGGCCCATCTCGGCGCGATTCGGTCGATCGGATTCGGTATGGATCCCGCCAGGCTCGGCGTGCGGTGCGGCCTCGAGGCTCGGGCGATCAGGTGCGGCCCGATGCTCGCACGGCCCGGTGACGTACCCGGGCGCGGCCGGTTCGATCCGATCTCGATTCCGTGCCGGTGCGAGGTATCCGACGCAAGCCCCGGTCCGATCCGATGTGGCGAGTCGATACTGCTTGGGCCCCTGTAGGCAGGGCAGGGCAAGGAGAAGAAGGAGATGGAGAAGCTGCTCAAGGAGTGTTATCGGAGTCCTAGAGATTGACACCAACACCAAGATCGGCGGTGTGCCTCCACCGAGGAAAGGCGATCCCGATCTCGGTGATGGTGGTAATATTCTAGCTTCCAAGGTGACTGAAATATTACCACCCACACCGATATCTAAGATCATCATCTCCCTGTGGAGGCAAACCCCTGTGCTGGTGTTGGTGCCAATTTCCAGGCCTCCAAAGTTATGCCAAGGGCAGCATATGCACGAGGCAGGGTTCGCGCCGCGCCGACGCGTGTGTTTTCAAGGTCCAGCGCCGTCGGTTCGGAGCCAGTCGACATCTGGGCACTGTTGTGTTCTTGCAGAGCGTCCCACCCTCAGTGGGTCACCACGCACCAAACCACCCCAACCCAACCCGAAGGTCCAAATTTATCCTCGATTTCCAGTGGGGGGGGGGTCGGGGAACATTGCAAGAACACATGGAACCCGTACCCCCCCCAACCCGAAATTCGGGTCGAATTCGGGTCTTCGGGTTGGGTTGGGGTTGTCTGGTAGGTAGTCAATCTGGGCAAAGTTGTGTTCTTGCAGAGCGTCCCACCCTCAGTGGGAGGAAGAGGCAAACCCATCCCGTCCCTCAGCGGGCGAAGAGCATTGTTTTTCGCCGTCGGGGGCGCCTGTCCCAGGGCGGCTCGAAAGCTCAGACCCTTCGATGGCACGTCAGGGCATGGCCTCTCCAGCCGTCCCAGTCAGGCGTCCCCGACGGCGAACAGGTTCATGTGGTACCGTTCTTCGCCTGCGGAGTCCCGACGTCAAGCTGGCGCGCATCAGGGGCTCGGCCAGAGAATGCCGCCTGGCGCCCCCGTGCCGAGCCAGCGCCGACGGGCACCCCTCGGAGCGCGCACGGCCGAGCAGAGCGCAGAGCAGGGAAGAGCACGCCCTTTCTACCGTCCCAGTCCCACCGGAGGGCCCCGACCAACGCCCCGCGCTCTTCGCCACGGGGGAAGCGGGCCCCGAGGGACCGAGGTCTCGAGGTGTTTGTTCCCCACTCTCGGGCGCCCCGGGGCCCTCCACGGACCCCGGGGCCTGTCGGGGAACGACTCGGGCTGGAGACCTCGTCCCGGGGGAAGGCCCCATGGGGTCCAGGATTCGTTTTTTTTTGTTCCGCATGCGTTTCCCCCATGCGACGCTGTCCGCGTGCGGATCATGTATCAAAATGCAGGCATCTAGAAATAAAAACAACGATGAGTTCATGCATAAATCTATTCCTAAATTAGTCATGAATTAAACATCTTATATGTCTAAAAATCTTATGAATTAAAAACTGCCCTGTAAGCTGTCGCGACCTGGACCTGCCGTGGAAGTTCTCGGCGCGTTGCCCGGCCCAGCGCCACGCCTCCTCTCCCCGCACCCCCCGGCGCCGCCGCCTGCGCGTTCCGCGCGCCCTGGTCCAGCGCCGCCGCGAGAAAGCCGCGCAGACCTCCGACGCCGCATGGTCATGTGGTACGTCTCGTGGGAGGGATTCCCCGCGCGACAGGGTGGAGTTGTTTCACAACGTCCCCAGACATCTGGCGTCTCGAAAAACTCGAGACAGAGGTTTGCTCGTCGTTTTCGGCCCCTCCTGGGGCCCCCACAGGGCCTCGAGAGGCCGTCACGAGACGGCTCGGGAGGAACAACCGGCCCCTGGGAGGTGCTCGAGAAGTCGGGGGCCCAGGGTTCGAGGGAGCCGAGACGCCGGATGTCCGGGTCCACCGCGGGAGGTCTGCACCCCCTCCCCGGGACCACTTTCTCATCCGGGGTCGCTGGTGACGGCCCACGGGGCCCGCTGGAGGGCCCGCTCGGAGGCCAGAAGTGCACGAGGAGCTCCCGCCGTGATGCTTCGCGGCTCGAGGGGGCTCTGGGCCCAGACACGCGACGTCCTGATTTTTGCAGGACGGCGTCCCTGGAAGTCCCGACCCTTTCCCTGGGACCGGCTTTTCGTCCTGAGTCGTGTTTTGACGGTCCCGAGGCCCGGCGAGGGCCCCCCGGGGCCGAAAGTAGTCCAAAACCTCCCGTCTTGATTCTTTCTACGACGCGGTCATGTCTGGGGGTCTGCCTCCCCGGAGGAGGACGACCGCGACGAGCTCGAGGGGGGCGCGGCCGCCAAGGTGGTGGACATCCGCGCGGAGAGCCGGGCCGCGGCGCTGCAGGCCGCGGCCGCGCGGTCGTCGGGCGAGGGGCACATGGGCGCCGCCAGCCCCAGGACCCGCGAGCCCCCCGCGGATGGTATCTAGGCCTCCTCCTTCTCGCCTCCTCCTCCACCTCCTCCACCTCCTCCTCCTCCCTCATCCCTCCTCCCTCCTCCCTCCTCCTCCTCTTCCTCTTCCTCCTCCTCCTCCTTCTCTACCTCCTCCTCCCTCCTCCTCCCTCCTCCTCCTCCTCCTCCTCCTCCTCCCGTCCTCCTCCTCCTCCCTCCCTCCCTCCTCCTCCTCCTCCTCCTCCTCCTCCTCCCCTCCTCCTCCTCCTTCTCTTCCTCCTCCTCCTCCTCCTCCTCCTCCCTCCTCCTCCTCGGAGGGGGAGGAGGACCGCGCCGCATCGCCGATGCAACGGCGATGCATCGGTGATGCGGCTCGATGCGGGGCCCACTTTTCTCCACGCCGACGTCGCCGAATCTCCGACGTCGCGAGGGCATCGGCGATGCATCGGCGATGCGGCGAGCTCCTCCGACCCCGTCTACTCGGACCCCATCTAGGAGGCCTCTATGGGCGGCGAAGTCCGAGTCCTGCCCTCGCAGATCAAAGGTGCAGGCAACCCGACGGACGGCGGGGGTGAGATTCGGGATGCGTCGAGCACGTGGCGAGATCCAAACCCTACCCACGCCTCCCACCGATTCAGGAGAATCGATGGTTGGTGGGGGTAGGGTTCGGATATCGCCACCTATGGGAGGTGCGGTCGCGCGCAAGCGCAAGGTCCTTTTCGTCGCTGAGGTCTGGGCCGCTTGCGGCCTGCCGGTCCCGGCCTCGCTGTCGGTTGGGGCCAGCGTTCAGTGGAGCGGATGTGGCCTTCGGCATGCTCGATGATCCCCAAGACGCGTGTTAGCCCAATGTGTGTGTGTGTTTTCACCGTGCAGCCCCCAGCGATAGCATACATATTCAGATTGTGTTGGCGTTTCTCTTTCTCTACACATTGTGCGTCGTGTTGAATGTCTTCGGTGGACACGCACACGTTGGCGCTAACACACGCTCCGAGGATCATCGACAGGCGCGTGGCGTCTGGACGAGGTGGCGGCGGCGGCGGCGCTGGCGCGGGCGCTCAAGGCGAAGCGCCCTCGGGGGGGCCAGCTTCGGTGCCCCAGGGCTGGGGGTCGACAGACCAGACCTCCCTGGGAGAACTTCCGAGCGTGTTCGTCGGTTCTTGAAGGTCCTCTCCCCTCGGGATGCGTCCCAGCAGCTGCAACTTGTCGAGAGCGGTTCGGGGGGTGCTCGGATTGCCCCGATAGGCTGCCGGAGGCCCGAGGTGTGGCCCGAACATGTGGCCTGATTCGGGCAGTGCCGAGGGGGCTTATCACCTTCTCCCCAAGGTCGAGGCTCGAGGAGCGGGCTGGGGAACTCCGAGGGTGGAGCCGCTCAAGACGGCAGGGTTCACGCGCGCGGAGCCACAAGTCTGGGAACGGGTCGCCGAGGCGGGAGCCTGCCGAAGCTGTCTACGCTCGCCCCTCCTAGCCTGCATTGGGGGACTCAGTGCGCTACAGGCCCCCCTCGCCCTCCCCAGGAAGTCGATGGTGTCCACGCTGACCGGCTCCTCGCACCATCAGCCGCCCCCGCCGGCCCCCATCCTGGAGGGCATGTCCGTCAGCGAGCTGGTGATGGCGCACCACGACGAGGAGGTCGGCGACCAGTCCCTGGCGGACACCCTCGCGCTCAGCCTCGACGACCCCGCCGGCGCGGGGGCCACGTCCTCCCTGTCGCAGCGGCTGCGCCAGATCTCCTGCGGCTACCAGCTCCTCGCGCAGCGGGGCCCCGAGGCGGCGCGCGGAGAGCCCATGGTGGGCGTGTTTTTCACCGCCACCATCAAGTAGGAGGGGGAGGGGGTCCTCCTCCTCCTCCTCCTCCTCCTCCTCCTCCTCCTCCTCCTCCTCTTCGTCCTCCTCCTCCTCCTCCTCCTCCCCCACCTCCTTCCCCCCTCCAGCTTATGGTGGTGCTGGTGGACAACGGGCCCATCAGCCCGTCCACGGCAGCCCGTACCCGGGGCGCACGCAGCTGGAGGCCCCGCTGCAGCACGACCAGACTTGGGCGCTCCTGCCCGTGCGGAAGGCGCTGCTGACGAAGAGGTCCCGCCGGTGCCTCCTGAGCAGGAGGGGCGAGGTGGGCGAGGGCGCTGGCCTGTTCCGGGAGGCCACGCCCTGCAAGGGCATCGTGGTGAAGCCGCAGATCAACCCGTGCTCGAATCCGCCGTTCCAGAAGAACAATGCGGCCGTCCACTTCGTGCCACGCATCGTGCCCTTCTCGTGCGAGATTGGGGCCGAGGGCGGCTCGAGCGTGATCACCTTCTCCATGGCCAACCCGGTCGACTCTGAGATGAAGGTCGTCGTGGACCCGACTGCTTTCAACGCGGGAGCAGGGTCCGAAGCTCCGTGCGGTCTGTCGCCCTCGCGGCGATCCGAGCTGTCGGCGGAGCAGACCGTCAGGGTCCTGACGAAGCCGTTCCAGACCGCGATAGGTCGGTTTAACGAGCTGGCCGATGTTGGCGCGGACTTCGGGGAGGACACCGAGAGCATGAAGGCTCTGAAGCAGCAGGACGACCTGGACGTCATACCCGAGAGGCACCTGTACAAGGTCCTTGTCCGCGTGCGCTTCGAGGTGATCGAGCCAGACCGCCCCTGGGCCTTCTACTGCACGCTCAGCCTGTCCTTCGCGGACCCGGAGGGCCGGAGGCACAGCGTGGACTTGGTGCTGAGATTCGGCGCGCCCCAGCCCGGCCGCGGCTCCGCCGCCCCGCGCACCGCGTGGTGCACATGACTGGCGCCCCGCGCCAGCGGCTCCCTCCGCCAGCACCTGTCGTCTGCAGAGGGAGCCTGCGCACCACCACCACCCCCGAGATCCAACGCATTGGAAAACATCAAGACGGAGTTTTTTTGCCATTTTCGGCCTCTGGAGGCCCTCGCCTGGCCCCCTGGGACCGGCAAAAACGATTCAGGGTGAAACACCGGCTTGGGGGAAAGGGTCGGGACTTCCCGGGACCCCGCATTGAATCGGGGCTGGACAGAACCCCCAACAGTGACACGTCGATTAGTGAATTGTCCGTTTTCAGTTCTCGAGAGGGCGCCGTGGCCATCATTTTCCAGGTTTGCGCCAGCCAGGTTTGGGCCTCAGGTCGTTTTCACTAAACCACGTTTTACTAAAGGGAGGTCTGTCCATCCCCGATTGAACACATGACGACATCGGATTCGTGGGACCACGCCTGGCCATGGCTCGAGGGAGAGGCAACCGTCTACAGACCTCGGGAGCTCCGCGCGGCTCTCTCGGATCGGCGCTGGGTCCGTCTCGGATCTCTCGGATCTCTCGGATCGGCGCGGCTGCCCGACGAGGGCAGTGGTCGACCAGAGCGGTGTTTGGGCGGTTTCGTGGGCCGTTTTCGTGTCGGCTTCGTTTTGCAGCAAGGGCGGCTTGAAGGCAACGCGAGGGAGAGCGAGAGCAGCACGACAACGAAAAACACCTTTTGGGTCGACCCCTGAGCGCGGGCGTGGAAGGTTGAATGCTGGCTCCTGGAGTCGGCCAGTATTGAGCGATCCCTGCGCGAATCGGGGAGCTTCGATTGCTCGAGTTTTCGAACGATCCACGCTGTGTCGGAAGGCAACACCGAAGTCGCCACGGCACAAACTTGCCGTACCCTCGTGGCCGACGCTAGGCGGACCGAGGTACAAGATTGACGTCGGTTCGGGGAGGGTACCCTGTTTTCTTCGTGTTTGTTGTGGGTGTTCTTTTGCATCCTGGGTGAGGGTAACCCTCGGATGTTCTGCGACTGTTGGCCGGCGGAGGGTCTCATGTTCTTGGAAGATGCTCTTCTGCCCTAGGTCCGACCGTACCCCCCTGGCCAAGGCCAGGAGGGCGTAAGCACCGTACCGCAGAGCCCAGCATGGCGCTGGCCAGGCATCGTGGGCGAGAAGCATGTCCGTTACCTGTCGGCCTCCGGAGCTGGGCCCCTGGGCCGCGGCCCCGCGGATGCAGGGTGTTTTTTTGTTCGCGGATGCCCCTCGCGGAACGTATCCGTGCGACAGCGTTATTATCCGTGGGAGCGCGAGGATGCGGTCTCCTTCGCGGACTCGCTCGCCGCGAACGAGTCCGCACGCGGACTCCTCCTCGCGCAGGCCGCGAGGGCGTGGATGCGGACTCATTCGCCGCTCGCGAAGGCACGGCGGTGGTGCACAGCCAGGCGCCCTCGGCGCTCGCACGCCGCCCGAGCCGCGGCCGCACCCCGAGGAGGGCCGCGCGCACGCGGGCCCCGTTCGCGAGGGGGGGCGGCCGGGGTGCCGCGCGCGCCTCTGCCCCCCCATCCCCCGATGCCGCCCCCTGCGAGCGGGCGAGCGCGCGCCCGCGGGGCGCGGGGGCGCGGCCGCGCAGAGCTTAGCGGGCGCAGAACGGTACGGCAGGTTCGCGTCGTTTCGACCGGCGGCGTCCCCGCCGCCGGCGTCCAACGTTGAGCGCCGCCGGTTTCCCAGAATCGGTCGATGTTGAACGAGCTGACGCTTCGGCATCGCCTGATCGTTCAGGGTTGAACGATCTCCGAGGTGTCAGAAGCCAACGTCGGACCTGCCGTGTAAGATAACGCTGTACCGTCACGGGGCGCTTGTCCAGGGCTCATTTTGACCCCTCCGAGTCGATTCGATTTGATTTCGTTGGCTGCCGATTCCGATGCTATTCGACCTGGGATTCCGCTTTGGGCTCCGATGTCTTATTGGACTCAAACTAGCCTGCCGATTACCGCCGATTCGACTTTTCCCGGCTCGGCTGCCGATTTCTGCCTATCCGACTCAATTCCGATCCGACTTATCGATTCACAATTCGATTCTGGGCTCTCCTGCCTGTCCCAGGGCGGCCGGAAAGTTCCTACCCGGACGAGCCAGGGTAGGGTGATGAATTTGCCAGCCGCCTTTGGACGGGCGCCCCCGACGGCGCAACAAAACAATTATTCTATATCGTTCTTCGCACGCTAACGGAGGTCTTGCGGGCGCACGGGCGCGCAGGGGCGCCGCCGACACCGAGAGTCGCGGCCGCAGCCTCCCCGCGGTCTCGTCCTCATCCTCGCCCCCCTTTTCCTCCTCATCCTCCTCGTCTTCTTCATCCACCTCCTCTTCCTCCTCCTCCTGCTGCAGACTCCCTCCTCATCCACCTCCTCTTCCTCCTCTTCCTCTTCCTATTTTAGACTCCGGGCTCGCGCGCCCCCAGGCACATCCCTGACTTGCCACGGCACCACCCCCAAGGTGTTAGCCTCGGGCGGTCATGTGAACCCGCTGCTGCTCATGGAACCTTTTCATCTTGCGGCAGGCGGGACGGTGGTTGGTCGTGTCTCGACAGTTCAGGAGTTGTGGTATCGTGGGCATCGCTGGCACTCAAGTTACAACAGACGCTCCTTGTGCACAGGATCGCCTTTGACGCTTTCTTCGTTTCCACTGGGGTCGAAGTGCAGGTAGCGCTGGTCGGCCGACTGGATGCGCACTGCTAGTCTCCGATTAGTTCCTTTCTGCGACCCACGTCCGCGGAATATTTAGTTGTCCAGGAGAACTGGCGGGCAGATTGGGAGCTGTGCGTTCCAAGATAGAGCCGTCCGATGTCACCGTGATCGTCGGGTACTCTCCTGTGGAGCCACCTGGTGGCCGAGGGCGGGCTGCAGCGTACAAAGGATGCACTACTTGGTGGCAGAGTGCGGGCTGTAGCGTACAAAGGATCCGAGCGGCTCTGGCAGCAAATGGGCGAGCTGCTGAGCGAGCTGCCTGCCCAAACGTTTCCCATCATCATGTTGGGCGCGAATGCTAGGGCCGGGTCGGTCGGCCGCATATCGATAGGTCTCTACAACGCGGACGCGGAGGACACCAACTGCATTCCGTCCAGAAATATGTTGGAATAGCATCACCTCGATGCGATGATCATTTAGATTGTTTTCTGGCGTACTATCATGGCGATGGGGTTTCGGCGGTTCGGGTTGATTACGTGCATTTGACATTTGCTCGGCAGGTGACGTACGTGGAAGTGGTACTCAGTGTACAGCTTTGGGGAACAAACGGGCGAAACGATGCAGCTGATTAGCGCTCGGACCAGGAGGGATCATGTCCCAGCGGTCGCGGTGCTGGATATCGCCCCCTCTTCCCCGAAGCAGAGAACACAATGAAATGGGACCACAAGCTGAGCAGCGCGGTGCTATTCGTTGAACAAATATCGGTCTTTTCGCAAGCTGAGAATCGTGCGTTGGGGCTGATCAACACGTTCGACAATGCGCTGACGCTTTGCATCTGCATGTCAACGGCGCAGTGAGGCCAGTGCTGGAGTTTGTTCAGGCTGAGCCTCTGAGGGCGTCGCGTCCTGACGACGCCTCGAACGTCCTAGCGAAGCGCATCGCTGTGCGCGCAAAACTGAGGCAGCTTCGTGATTCCGCCCCTCCTCTCCCCCTGCCCCATCCCCCTCCCTCCTGCCCCCTCCCGTTCGGTGCTGCCCAGTCTCTCGACTGCGGTAGGCTGATCAGCATCAGCGTTCTTTTTACATGCAGGTTCTGGGGCCCCAGCATTCTGTCTAAGCGCATAATCTGCCGCCACCGTGCTGGCAGCGAGGTCGGGAAGTCCACGCGCCGCGACAGGGGCCGCATCTTTGGGCCGCGGGTGCCCGATCTTGAGGATTCCTTGGGGGAGCGATGTTTTTTGGCGTTTCTTGGTTGCCCGCTCGTGAGCTGAGCGGCGAGGCTCTCGGCGCTAACGAGGAATATTGGTCTGAGGCCAACGGGGGCACGAAGGAAGCGCATTACACAGTGTCTCGGTTGTTTAGGAAGGTAAATTTCTCCGCGCGCATCCGCCCTGGGCCTTTTCATGCCGATGTTTGGAGAATGCTGGCGTTTTGCTGAAGCCCCGGATTTGCGCTGGCTTGGGAGGGCGAGTGGGCGCGGGGACCTAGGCCCCATCAGGCACTGCTGGTTCATGATTATCGTGGCTGTTCGTTTCCGCGTCGAGACACCCCTTATCTTGCGCTGTAGTCAAGCGTTCGCCTTGAGCGAATGTGAGAGATAGACCGCGCGGGGCTTCGGTCAGCTCACGATCTAGAGCCGCTCAGGAAAATATATTATTCGCAGATGCGGAGAAAACCATCCCGAATCAATCCAGCGAAGCAGTTCGCTTCGTGCTTCCGGGCGCTCTCGTGCTTCGGAGCGCAAGGCTTGCGCCGGGGGCGCCTTCGTGCTTCGGGTTTGGGCTTCAACGCTGACGCCCAAGACGCCGCCGACGCTTTCCACGGCGCATCGCGCGGCGCGCTGCTGATGTTCATTCGCCCGCATGCCGGCCCTTCTCGTTGCCCCGCATGTTCCGTTCAACGATTGGCGCGCGGTCGCGACGGACTGGAACGCGTCGACGGGGCCCTGTGCACGGGCGCAGGCTCGGGCGCGCTTCCTGGAGATGCGATCGCACGCCCCCGGTTCCCGGGCCCGCCTCATTGGTCCGTCGACGGGGCCATTCGCATTGATAGTCCTGGGGCTGGCGTTGAGATACCCCGACTGAAACGCTGCCTGACAGATGGTGCGCCCGATCACGCGATGGTCCGTTCCTGGTTGGATAGGCCGATCGACGCTTCGCTTGCGAGTTTCGCCGCCGATCCTTCGAGAAAGCAGCGCGCGCGTTCGTTCGAAGGCTTGGTCCGCTTAAACGAACGCAACGCCGCCTTGTTGCCAGACCGACTAAGCATCGCGAGCGCCTGGGCGAGCACGGACAAGCACGAGAGCCCAGCGCGCCTGCGCGGCCGCGGCGCCGCCGCAGCTAAGAGGG